GTATCGAATCATGAATCATGTTCGAAGTTGATCGTTGAGAGGAATATACTTTCTTCATTTTACAATCCCTTAAAAATTATTCAAGCTTTTTTTTCCCCCTCTCCGAGAAGAAAAAAGTCGTTAGTGCCAGAAGCAGAGAATATTGTGCGCGAGGAATAACTTCCGATTACAGTTTCGACAGATTTTTGTTTCGCGCGAACTCTCCGCGCGTGGAAAAAACGCTTTTCCGATGCACAAAGGATACACCCTCTTAATTTGCAATTCCGGCTTTATCGACTTGTCGACACTCGACGACCAATCAAACCTGACGTCTCCGCCTCTCTCGATCCCCGATATAATTTCTAATAAAACCGTCTCGATCGGTATAAACAAGAATTCCAAGATCAACCAAGATTTCTCTCGAAAGGACATTTATATAATATAAATATCCCTCGCGGGGGAGGAGAAAGAATTTACCACTCGTCTTTACAGAGAGAGAGAGAGAGAGGAAGGAAAGAAATAAAATCCAATAGCAAGAAACATTAGCAGCAGCACTCTCCTCCTATTTAAAGAACAAAATCCAATTGCAAGAAACGAGTTTGAACCAGCAGCATCTCTCTTTTAACTTAAAAAAAAAAAAAAAGGCTTCAATTGCAACAGAGTTAATTCCATCTTCCAGCTTGTAACGCTATCTTCTATCCTTATATACATACATATATATACCACATTCTCGGCTCGATTTCGTCGAGTGGATTGTTCTAAGAAAGTAGGGCCGTTTCGAGATCATCCCTCGTCGATGGTATTGAAAAGTAATCGTGAGTCGCGTGAGTGGCATGAAATTCAAATGGATATATTTACAAAGAGGAGGTGGTCCTCCTCCATCCAACCGATTATACTACACCCTTCTCGAAGGTGTGCGGATGGGAATAGCGGATGGAGGAATAATCGGGCCGTTTATAAGCCGGTTGCCGCCGTCCCTTAATCTTTGGGAGGAGGAGGAGGAGGGAGGGGGGCGGAGGAGGGTTGTGCATTAAGATGACGAATAACACGGGCGCAACACGGGGGGAAATTTGACAGGATCGGGATAACGACATCTATCCGCCGCTATCATTTCGCCAATTTACGTGTAATTCGTAATGCAAATGTTAATGGCCCTCCCCAGTCAAACGCAGAGACAACCGGCCCGGACTGGCGTATATATCGATCCCCCTGATCGATATTCCACCGGAAACCGTTAATATTATATGGGTAGGGTAATTTATAGCGATCGATACCCCCAATGTTTATACGTATGATTATTCGAGTCGGAGTGAATTTAGAGTTTTCCGTTTAATCGCGTTCAATCTCGCGGTGAATTCGTACATTTCGGTTCGCGTGTAGTAATGCTTAATGCTCGAACGTTTTTTCCTCTTTTCTCGCGCGTGTGTGTGTGTGTGTATATATATATATGATTTTTGAACTTTTTTTCATTCTTCAACACGTTTGGCAGAATACGTTCTAGATTGGATTCTACCTACAATTTTTCCCTCCAATCACGTGAAAACGCATTCATGTGGGCGGTTTGAGTGCGATTCATGCGTTTGAAATGGAAGGGAGGGGAGAGGAGGGGGGTTGAATGGGGAGGGGAAAAATTTTTATTTCATCCAACGAAAGAGATTCGAAACGCATACAAGGGGAAACTACCCCT